TTCCTGGATAGGGTTAAAGCAGATTGGGGTGTGTGTCTTTTGAGCATGCTATAATTTTTGATATTTCATTAATTGGCTATTAGTGTAGTTAATTATAAATTTAAGATATTAATTGATTGATATTTAGTGTAGTCTATTGATAAATAAATGTTATCATATATAGTACATAGTTAATTAAGGATAAGATTTAATTACATTAAATATTAGAAAATTGAATAAATTGCTGTTGATAGAGTCTACCTAAATTGTATTGTATTTTAATTGTTGTAAGCCGCCCAGAGACCTTTGGATAGTGTGGGTGGCATATAAATAAATAAATAAATAAATAAATAAATAAATAAATAAATACATAAAATAAATAAATAAATAAATAAATAAATGATTATCTGTGACCACCAGATGCACAATATTTGTTTGAAGGTTTTATGTATGGTTTTAGGATATCAGCATTAGGTGAGCGTAAGGCGTTTTTGCTAAAAAAATTAAGTCAGTACGTGGCATGGAAAGTGTAGTTCAGCAAAATATTAGAAAGGAAGTGGCTGAAGGTAGGGTTTTAGGGCCATATAAACATCCATCACTAGTGAACCTTCAGGTATCACCCTTGGGTGTCATACCCAAGAAGAATAAGGGCAAGTATAGGCTCATTCACCACCTGTCTTACCCTGAAGGGGTGTGTGTTGGTGAATGATGCCATACCACAGGAGCTTTGTTCAGTGTGCTACACCTCTTTTGAAGAGGCGGTGCGCATGGTGCGCAGATGTGGACTCGGTGCAGAACTGCAAAGTGCGACATCAAGTTGGCATTTTGTATTCTTCTTGTGCATCCCTTAGATTTTGACCTCTTGAGGTTTTATTTTCAGGGCCCCTACTGCATTGATAGGGCCCTGCCAATGGGTTGTTCTCTCTCCTGCAGTACGGCCCATTATTTAGATGATTATCTTTTTTGTGGTGCTGCCAATACTGGACAGTGTGCATTTATTTTGGAAACGACTCAGGCATTGGCCTGGGAACTGGGAGTTCCCTTGGCCAAGGAAAAAACTGAAGTGTGTGAGACTTCACTTACCTTTTTGGGGATTGAGCTGGACACCAGTCAGCAAGCTTCCAGGATGCTGGAGGATAAATTAGAGGCTCTTAAGGAATGAATCCAGCTCCTGTTACGAAGTAAGAAAGTGTCCCTTAAGGAGCTACAGGAGATTGTAGGCCATTTAAATTTTACACGTAGGGTTCACTCCTGGTCGTGCCTTTGTGCACCATTTGTGTGGGGCCATGAGGGGACTTTGTCGCCCTTTCATAGCAATAGGGTGACTAAGGGTATGAAGCAGGATCTGCAAGCATTGAGTCAGTTTTTGGAGGAATTTAATGGGGTGTTATTCTGGAGGTCTGACCTGCTACTTAAGGCAGAATTTCAGGTTCAAACCAACGCAGCTGGCTCGTTCAGTTTCGGAATTTATTTTAAAGGGAGATGGTGTGCTGGGCTGTGGCCTGAAGAATGGCACCAGCAAGGTATCACTAGGGATCTCACCTTTTTATAATTTTTCTTGATATTAGGTGTCTTGTGGCTGTTGGCACATGAATGAGCTAATTCTTCAGTACGGTTCTGATGTGACAATCAGGCAGTGGTTCACATAGTGAACAACCTCACATCACACTCAGAATTCACTATGGCACTTGTACATGCTGTCACATCACATGTCTTGAAATTTAATTCTAGCAAAACATATCCCTGGTTTGGATAACAGCTTGGCCGACGTCCTATCACCCCAACAGATCACTCACTCCAGGGAGTTAGACCCAGTTAGACCCAGGAGCAAGCAAACATCCAGAGAAACTACCAGCAAATTGGAGGGATGACGTTGAGAGGGCTATAGGCTTCGCCCTGACTGAGGACACGGAAGGCGTACCTAACAGTGAGTACAGAGTTCCAGGAGTTTAGGATATCAGTGGATTTGGAGCTGATCTGGCCTTCTCCTGTGGAACACCTCCAACCATTTATAGTATTTTTAAATAGGAAGGGATTAGCACCAGGTTTCTTCCAGGGTAGGATGTCTGCGTTAGCCTTTCACGCTAGGATCCATGGTTACCAGGATTTTATCTCCAACTCTCATATCAAGAAAGGTTGGAGTAAGGAATGAGGCTGGGTTAGGAACTCCAGAACATCAATATCCCTGGCCCTGCTGGAAAAATTTGCCAGCTATTGCCAATTATTTGTAGGGATGCATATGAGGCTGTGCTATTTCAAGCAGTGACGTTGCTGACATTTTTTTTGTGCTTTAAGAATTAGTGAGATGGTAGCTTCAGGTAGAGGGAATGCATCAAAATTGGACTTACAATGGCACGATGTAGTGCTGGCAGAAGATTCTGTGCGGTTCCACATTACAAGAAATCGGGCCTTCTTGGCGGCGGCTGCGATGTAGCGCTGGCAGAAGATTCTGTGTGGTTCCACATCTGCCGATCCAAGGCGGATCTGCGAGGTAGGGGAGCAGATCTTACTTTAGGTACTTGCTCAATCGCAAAACTTTGTCCGGTAAAAGCAATAGGTTCTTATGTAAGTGTCAGAGGACAGGGCCAAGATTATATTTTCATACATAAGGATGGAACCCCTTTAACAAAATATCAGTTTTGGAGAATCACTGAATTAGCTTTAGGCAAAGTAGGTGTTCATGGTTTGCGGTTCGGAACTCATTCTTTTAGAATTGGGGGCATCAACTGCAGCCACTCTAGGTGATCATCCTGATGACATCAAGCGGTTGGGGTGCTGGTCATTCACTGCCTGTCAAAGGTATGTCGGGACACTCCCTCACACCTAGGCAGCTGCCTGGTTTTTGTCTTTGCAGGTCCGCTTTTACAGGGGAACTGGTGGCAAGTCATGATAGTTGGCCACAGCTTTGTTTTCTGGGCAGCGAGGTAGGCTGCCCAGTCGACATGGGGGGAGCGATTTGGGTCTTGGAGATAGAGCCCAAATTGTATGGAGAGGGATCCGCGGACTGTCATGGAGCCAATTATGCAGGGCGGCTGCATTTGGCAAGCAACCCCCAGAGGTGCTGGTTATACACCTGGGAGGTATGACCTGGCCAAGCATGGTGGCAAGGCCTTGGTTTTGGATGTTCTGCGAGATGTCAGATGGCTGAGGGTGATGTAACCTACAACGAGCATTATTTGTTCTACGATCATCTCTTGGCTTGTTTGGCAGGACAAACACCAGGTCCAGTATGTTAACACTGCATGGAGGCTTGTTAATGGAGAAGTGTATAGAGCGATATGTGATGGCCTTGGAGTCTAGAGAGTCTAGACTCACAAAGAGAGTATGGCTCAATAAGAAGCTGACAACACATACCAAGATCCAGGTCTATAGAGCCTGTGTCCTGAGTACACTCCTGTACTGCAGTGAGTCCTGGACCCTTTGTGCACGGCAGGAGAGGAAGCTGAACACCTTCCATATGCTGGAGTACACCTCTCTGATAGACGCTTGGAGCTATTTTTGGCAGACCTCAGGGAGAGCCTGCTTTTGGAGCTCGAGCGGCTCAATGAAGGGGCAAGGGCCTTAAGCTTTGCTTGCCCCCATGCCGTGGTGGGTAGTGCAGATAAAACAGGTTTCGGTGAGTCCCCTCACAACCACAAGTAAGTCTCATCTGATCTCCCAGCGCTGCGAATCACGTGATTACAGTGCTTGGGGGAGAAGATCAGCTTTGGCCACTCCCGGACCAACAGTCAACAAGAAGGAGGGGACTTGAGGTCTGGGGTGGTCAAATTTGGGCTGGCCGGATTGTCTGTCTTCACGACTGCGAGATCTTGGGGCTCAGAACTCTCCCATAGTTTGGTAGGGGTCTGGTGAGACCCCTCTGCAGAACCTGATTCCGCACTACAGCAGGACCCCCTCTTTTTTTCCCCATTTGAGGATAAATATGAATATTTAATAAAGTGTGGCCCATGTTTATTCCATAACAGTTGTCTCGTGTCTTATTCTGGGGTAAGGGGATAAATGCCTCTTAGTCCATATTATTAAGGACTTCAGAGAAAAGGTGTTTCATACAAGGAAAGATTTCAAAGGAACTACCCTGTGTTGTTGGTTTCTACAGAGCAGCCAACCTAAAGAGCCAGTACATTTATCTGGAAGAACAGATGCTCATTCATTCTTGAGACAGTTCTCAGAGGCTACCCGGCCAAGCCCTACACTGATTTATAGACTGGGCTGCCAGATTTACAATTTAATCTGGTGGAGCAGCCCAGGTTTATGTGACTAGAGGGGACTGCACAAGTGCTCTGGTCCATGTTTTGTTTAATATCTACATTCCATTAAAACCCATTGGAGTTACTTGACTTTAGCTTGGCTTGCATGCCAATGATCAAGGAGCTTCTTCCGCGTAAGAGAAGGAACAGCTAACCTGAAACATCTCTGTTTCAATTTAATCATTGATATCTGTTGACAATGAGGATAAGGATGATTCTGAAAGCCTGCCAACTTTAATGGTTGCAGAGGGTAGTGGTAGAGAAAAGAAAAATGAAATCCTTCTCTTACCTTTAATGCCTGCTTCTCCTCTGCCACTCTTCACCCAACCACCCATCATTGGGAACAAGTAGCAGTATTTTTATTCTGGTCCATGGTCCACATGTTTGTATGTTGCTTCTTGTACAAATTAGAATGTGACAGAAGGCCAGGTGCTGACATATTAAAAAAGAGAGAGAGAGAGAGAGAGAGAGAATAGAATTGGCCCATACAGATATAATGGCTAAAACCTGCAGTCTAGATCTATAGCTGTTGCTCTCAGTTTCTAGAGAACAGCTGCAGAATGGTTGAGGGACCTCATACTCTTCAAAATCCAAGTTGAAGAAGACTATTTGCAAACAGAATGCTAGCTTAACCCTTGGGCATTTCCACACACGACCCTGCCCCTGTCTTTACGCAGCTGCTGTATGAATCATCCATGGCTATGGATGAAGATACTCATCTCCAGAGGAAACTGAAGTTAGTAAGACTTATTTCTCTCTCTTTTTTTCACTCAGAATTAGATGCGGCTCTGGAGGCCCTGAACTATCATTTGGAACTTTGTACCTGGAGGCTGAATCCTGAGAACATGTGAGTACTGTGGCTGTGCAGTCCCCAAGTCTGCAGAACTGGTGTATGATATGTTCTGGATAGGTCTGCTGGTCTAGATGGTATAAGGTAGCTTGCTTTTCAGATCTGAAGAATGTAAAGAGTTTGGGAACATCCAGCAGAATCCATGGATTGATAAAATATACATTTAATTGTGTGTGTGTGTGTGTGTGCATAAATAAAAGTAGCTATATTTTGCAGATTTCTTCATAGATCAAAAGGAAAGAACATGAGATTAAAAAGGGAATGAAGATGCGAGGAAGGAAACTCAACAGAACTCTTTGAGTGCTTATCTCTTAAAGGCTGGCCTTAACCCCTGTGTAGGCAGTTAGGTTTGTGGTACTGAATTCAGGTCTCTGCCCCTTGCTTTTTGCTCTGTTCCTCAGCATTAACACTACATGGCATATGGTCACAAGATGACCCTCTTCCTGATGGGCATAGGTAAAGGTAAAGGTTCCCCTTGACAATTTGTCCAGCCGTGTTTGACTCTAGGGGGCAGTGCTCATCCCCGTTTCCAAGCCATAGAGCCAGCGTTTTTGTCCGAAGACAATCTTCCGTAGTCACATGGCCAGTGCGACTTAGACACAGAATGCTGTTACCTTCCCACCGAGGTGGTCCCTATTGATCTACTTGCATTTGCAAGTAGAGCTCACTCCGTTGCGTGGATTCGATATTACGACTGCTGGTCTTAACTATACCTAATAAATTTGAGGACTGTGCATTATTTGTTTGCTTTGAGCATGAAAAGAACTTTCATAAGTGCAGCATTTCTTCATAAATGGGATGGAAATGATGGTGCATTCTCTCTCTCTCTCTCTCTCTCTCCTGCCCGTTGCTTTTTGCTCTGTTCCTCAGCATTAACACTACATGGCACATGGTCACAAGACGACCCTCTTCCTGAGGGTCATAACTGTACCTAATGAATTTGAGGAGTGTGCATTATTTGTTTGCTTTGAGCATGAAAATAACTTTCATAAGTGCAGCAGTTCTTCATAAATGGGATGGAAATCATGGTGCATTCTCTCTCTCTCTCTCTCTCTCTCTCTCTGGCAGTTTCATTTATCCAAAGTTTGCAACATATTCGTCCATGTAGTAGAGCCTCTCTGTCATATTGCAAATTGCTTTTGAGATTTCCCTTAGCTTCAGAAGAAATTTGTCCTGTGGCCTATGGCATAGGAAACGGCCTTTTCAGAAATACAAGCCAACCCATATGTCTCCCTTGTCTCTAAACAACTAACTAAGCATTAAGGGACGAAGGAAAGCTGAATCAGACCATTGATTCATCTATCCCAATGTTCTCCCCTCTGACAGATAAGAGAAGGTTCTCCACAATTTCAGGCCGGATTCTCTCCTAGCCCTAGAAATCTAACTAAGTTTTAGAGTGAAGATATGAACCCATACTGTATCTTCTAGTGCCCAATCCAGCATTACAGTACTAGTGTCTACAGGTTCCAGCAATGTCGCAGGAGTTGTCAGAACGACATGAGCTGCCTTCGGGACTCCAGCTCCGGATTTTGCCTCGAGGTTAACTCCTGAAGCCTTTTCCATGAGTGGATATAGCCACAAGGCAGTGGAGGTTTGAAATCGGAGTTTTCCTTCTCCTAGATGGGCTGCCTTCCATGGCTGACGAGCCCCACCTACCCGGCCTGCTCTTTAATAGTGCAAAAGTATGATCTGATCCTTTCCTGACTCCCCGGCTTATGCAGATCTAATTGGCTACAGTCTTAACACCACCTAAACAACATATATCTTGATGGCCTCCCTTCCAAGTGCAAAACCAGACAAAATCAAGCAGAGCCGTAGGACAGAAGTCATATACTCAAGCCAAGAAGCAGCAGTACTGTGATAAAAACATAAATAAAGATCCACAGAACCTCTGATTATCAGGAGATAACCCATGATTAGCACCACAGCATCTGTGAAATAGCAGGCTAGACGTGATGGATTTTTTGCTGTTCTTATAGATTTCATATGCTTAATGGGTTCAGATGGTATCATTTGAATTTATGTTATGATCTCCACTCCATGTGCTCTTGCAGGGGCTCTGGAGGTCAATGGGAATTTTGTTTATGTGAATATCAAATTTTCCGGGCAATATAGAACATCAGAGCCATTAAGCAGGAATTAAGCCATTCTCTATCCTCTTGGATAACAAAGGCTAAAAAGATGCTCCTTTTTCTTTCTTTCTTTCTTTCATTGATTTTAGTTTCATTCTCTTGGGTCCCACTTTGAGAGAAGGTTGCAGACATAAATGTCACATTGGTATTCCATACGCAGAGAATTTCTAAAGCTGCCTCCCCCTGTAGTTCAGGGTCCTTTAAATGTTACCCAACCTGCCCTGCACCTACTTATAGAAAAAGAGCTAAAGTAACACTTAAAGGACTCATGAATCTTAGAATCATACAGGGTTCCACCCTTTGGGAAGCTGATTCAACTATACATATATTACTTTAAAAGGTACGGCAAAAGTAAAAGGAAGCCAAAGCCCTTGGCACAAAACTAAAGTGAGGGTATTGAGTTCCTTAATATAATTGGCATCAATGAGCTCAAAGTGCTGATTTCTTTTCTCTAGGTAGTAGAAAAAGAAGACTAAGGGAGAAGGCAGGAGAAACACACTTGATTATGAATGGTTTTTAGAAAACAAATGGGAATGGTTTCACCCATCAACATAAGATGTTGTGGAATATTAGAGGAAAGGTCTACCTAGTGGAGCATTCTGTTCTCACCGTGGCCAAATGGATGTGTTGGAGATGCCATAAGCAAGGCAGGAAGGCAAGTGGTACCTTCCCACTCATGCTTCCCAAAATCTGAAATTGGGAAATAGTCCTCTGATCTTCAGAGTAGCATACAACCATCACGATGAACAGTAGAGATGGGCATGATGCAGAAAACCGATAGTTTGTGATGATTCGTGGCTAACCTCGAACACCCAGAAAAATGAACCGGTGAACCAGGGATGGGACTAGCTGCTCCTGTCACATGCTGTATGCCGCATGCCACGTGCTGCCTACCACCTGCACCTCTGCCGCTGCCTCCTCTGCAGCTGCAGGCAGGTGCCCAGAGGCAGCATGCAGCTCCTGGCAGGGAAGCCAGACTTTCTGCCTCTGCACACGTGCCTGCTTATCAGCCTCGTGGCGCAGTGGTTAAAACGCTGTACTGCAGCTAAAACTGTGCTCACGACCTGGGGTTCAAATCCCAGGTAGCCGGCTCAAGGTTGACTCAGCCTTCCATCCTTCCGAGGTCGGTAAAATGAGTACCCAGTAGGCAGGTGCCTAGAGGCAGCATCCAGCTCCTGGCAGGGAAGCCAGACTTTGTGCCTCTGCACATGTGCCTGCTTATCAGCTGGGCAACAAGTACGGAGTCAGGAGCCTGCCAGGAGCTGGCCTCTGCCTCTGAGCAAGTGCCCACTACCCAGTTGACAGGCTACTGGCAGGGAAGCCAGGTGGGTGCTGCTGAGGATGGCACCTATAGCAGCAGAGGCAGCAGGAGCAGCTAGGCAGAGGGGAGTGGGCGGGCATCCCCTTTTGCCAAAGCAAATGAAACACCAATGAGGAAGAAAGTTTGGCATTTCGTTTTGCTTTGGCCAGTTGGGATCCCTGAAGCGAGTCGAGAAACAAACAGGCGGGAGCTGGCCACTGCCTCTGAGCAAGTGCCCACTACCCAGTTGACAGGCTACTGGCAGGGAAGCCAGGTGGGTGCTGTTGAGGATGGCACCCGTAGCAGCAGAGGCAGCAGGGGAGTGGACGGGCATCCCCTTTTGCTAAAGCAAATGAAACACCAAGGAGGAAGAAAGTTTGGCATTTCATTTTGCTTTGGCCAATCGGGATCCCTGAAGCGAGTCGAGAAACAAACCATGAACCAATCCAGTTCATCTGGGTTGGTTTTTTTTGGTTTATGGTTTATTTCATGCCCATGTCTAATGAGCAGCCCTTGCTCATAGCCTGAACATCTGTGAATTTGTTTGACTACCTTTCAGCTGCATGGAGATCAAAAGGCTAGTTTAGTCTGCATAAGGTATCAACTGCCAGGTCAATGGGATCCCATTCCCTCATATTTCAGGGCCAAACCCAAGTAGACCCTTGTGATTCCACATGGGGGCTGATCCTCCAGCAACAATTACAGGATGGAGTGTGTGTGTGTGTGTGTGTGATTGTAAAGCAGACATGCAATGGAGAGATTCGATGATGAATTTCAGGCCTGTCTATGAACTCCAAAGAGCAACAGAAACCATACTAGATCATGCAAGGTCACGAAGAAAGGAGCATGGCAGAATGGCTTTTTCCTGGAGCTATTTATTGATTTATTTTAAATATTTATATGCCACCTTTCTCCCAAAGCCGGCTTACAGCATTTAAAAGAAACAAAGTCAAAAGTCAAATAATAAATTTTTCAGTATTAAAAAAGCATTAAACAAATATCAAATTAAAACTCATACAGTAATAAGAACAATATTAGAAACACAAGTAAAACACGGGATGAAATGTGCCCTTTAAAAATCCCCTTGATCAACCAGTCATTTAAAGAACAGAAGCACAAGTAAAACACAGAATGAAATGTGCCCTTTAAAAATTCCCTTGATCAACCAGTCATTTAAAGGAAGGCCTGCCTTGAGGGTCTTTGCCTGCTTGCAGAAGAACAGCAAAGACGGGGCCAGTCTGGCCTTCTGTGGGAGGGAGTTCCAGAGTCTGGGAGCAGCCACAGAGAAGGCCCTCTCCTGTCTCCCCACTAAATGGGCCTGTGCAAGTGACCAAGAGAAAGCTCATAAAGGCAGATACATTTTAAAAGATATGGAACAGCAAAATCTTGGACAACCATCGATGGTGTTCCTTGACATTCCAGTACTTGAAGCCTGGAGAATGACTCCTAAAACCTAAGTTTCAGGAACCAAATCTAAGATCTAGGAACCCTAAGCCTGCATAACTGAGCAACGTATAAGACTTAGTAGCTGAAATAACCTCTCTGTGAGGGTAAGCTCCAGCAAGTTAGAAAAAAGACTAAAGGTAGAGCCCATGATTGAGCTATATAAAGTTATGTCCTAGTGTAGAGAATGAAGATCAGGGATTTTTACAAAGTGAAGTCTTCTCACACCAGCAGTTGCAAGGCATCGTGCAGTTGATATATCTTCTCTTTTCCTTCTTAACAGATTTTCTGTTGCAATAATAATATTTTTTTAAAAAAAAGTGGGAAGAAGCAATGGAAAAATAAGGGAGGGTTATGAGTGGAGGGTGAGGTGGTCTGGAAGCTCTGTACAATTCAGCAACTAAGATATGGTAGATGCTTCTTGGGAGGTTAGATTTAGGACACTTTCCACTAGTTAACAAGTTAAGAGTTTGGAATGCTGGCGCTAACAATGCTGTGAAAGACATTGGGTGGACCTTGAGGGTCATCAAGACATTACGGGGTAGAGTCTACAGAATATCCAATGGGCTAACTGCTACTGCATCAGAGGCTCAGAGGCTGAACTAGCAGGTAACGTTCCTGACAAACTGGCAATCTGAGTGCTGACTAATTCTGATTAGGTGAAGGGCACTGAAAATGCTCACTGAAGCTGGGGGATGGGAGTGGGAGGGAGAAGTAAAGAAAAGAGAGTGTTAATCCAGTTGTCGGGTGTTTTATTTCCATCCTGGGCTAGAAAAAGAACTCACTAACAGCGTTTTGCAGCTCTCCTGAGGCGTCAAAGCGCAATGTCGGTTCGTGTTGGCTGCTACAGATTTGCCTGGTTTTATTTTAATTGTGTGAGCAGCACCACCAGATGCTCTGGGAAGCAGATATTTAGGAAAAAAAAAATCAATCCCCTCCTTTGTATATGCAAGCAGACGGGCAATGGCTGAGAGTTTTATTGCCTCGCCTAAGTTGAGAATTTGTAATCTGATTAAAATTTACACTTTCTGCCCTTGACAGACGGTATTTTCTGCCAAGTCCCACTTGAATTCTCAAAAGGTAGTATGGAATTCCAGAAGCTGATTTTGTCTTCCTCTCTCTCTCTTTTTCTTGCAGTCTCTGCTTCCTAGGGAAGATTCGCCCTTCCTTTGTAGCCTTTTCACCCGCTATTTTCTCACTGATGAAATCTTGAATGGCAGACTTGGCCGTATCTGCATCATCTTTTCCCAGGAGAAGATCAGGTTTGCAAATCTGACTTAGGTCAGACTCACAAATAAGACCACTGTAGGTTTGCTAGATCTCAGAGTAACAAGTGACCCTACTGATGTTAAAAAACACTCAGCACAGGGAGCAGCTTATTTTTCCATTTCCAAGGAATCCAGCGAGCATACACTCACTTAGCACAGGGAGCAGCTTATTTTTCCATTTCTCTTTGTCTTCCCCACGTAGGATGAAGACCATTGCCCAGTAGGTAATCTCCTAGGGTGGACTGACTGATTCTGGACTTAGTTCAGCTTGGCCAAGAAGAGGAGAATCAGCTTCAGAGACATTTGAGAAGGCTCCAATATTTATTAACCTGCTTTCCAACACTTACTGCACCAAGACTGAAACAGCTCCGTCAGGTTGCAATGACATTGGCTGACAGGCTACGCTAATACAGTTTGATTCACTGCCTAAATCAGTGGTTCTTAACCTTTGTTACTCGGATGCTTTTGAACTGCAACTCCCAGAAACCCCAGTCAGGACAGCTGGTGGTGAAGGCTTCTGGGAGTTGCAGTCCAAAACTCCTGAGTAACCCAAGGTTAAGAACCAGTGGTCTAAATTATTGGTTGAATTCACAGTCCACGATCACACAAGGGCTGTGGAACAAATCATGAATCCAGTATTCCTACTTAGTGCAATGCGATTTATATTTCAGCCCCCAGCCCCTGCTTCTTTCCTGGTTCCCCCTTTTATGGGCCTTTGTCAAGCTGCTTGGTTTTGAAAGGGTTGTACAGTGTTCCAAAAATGGTAGCAGCATTCCAAAGCTCTTCTTAACGTGTCCAGAAATATCACATTCCACAAAAATGTCTTTTATTTCAACTGGGTTATTTCTGTTTTGTTTGTAATTTTTATTTTCATCCAGAAGTGATCTAGCACTAAACTTGTACAGTAGGACCGAGTTTGTATCCACGGGATCAGTATCTGCTGATTCACTTATCCGCTGCCTGAGAATATTAATACATACTTATACATATTTCTGTGTGGTGGCGAAGCCTCTGTGCTGTAAGGTCTATAGATCTGCCGTCGTAAGATCGAATCCACGCGACGGAGTGAGCGCCCGTCGCTTGTCCCAGCTCCCGCTAACCTAGCGGTTCAAAAGCATGCAAATGCAAGTAGATAAATAGGGACCACCTCGGTGGGAAGGTAACAGCGTTCCGTGTCTAAGTTGCACTGGCCATGTGACCACGGAAGATTGTCTTCGGACAAACGCTGGCTCTATGGCTTGGAAATGGGGATGAGCACCGCCCCCTAGAGTCGAACACGACTGGACAAATTGTCAAGGGGAACCTTTACCTTTACCTCTACATATTTCTAAGGCTTATTTATCAGAACTGGCCATTAGAGGGAGCCAGAGACATACAATCTATTGTGTTTGATACTTCTGTCTTTTTTTGCTATCCCTGGGGAGGGTTTAGAACCAATCCCCCACAGATACCGTGGGTCCCACTGTATATTAATACTAGTACTAGCAATTGAAAAAAAAAGGAATGAGTGATCTAGTGCTAATCTCAATTTTTGCCTTAAAAATTCATATGTTAAGTCCTTGTTATGTGCCATCAGGATAGTTCCCATTGATGGAAACCCTAATAGGGCTTCTGAGGTATGTGAGATGTCGAGGATGATAATACGCGTGTGGCTGAGCCATCAGGGCCTGCTTGTGGAAATGGAAATTCCAGTTTACCCACATCAGTGGAGGAAATATTACGCTAAGTGGGCTATTGGTCATCATCATGCTCTTCCCATCACAGATAATTTTTCAGCATATAATGATGACATCAAGGAGCATTCCACCTCTTCAGAATGGAGCTGCCTCATCAACACAGCTTAAAGTTCTCCCGCTCAGCTGAAGCTGACACCAGCACAATCAGACCTCTTTGAGGAAACAGGGGGGAAAAATTGCCACCTCCCACTTCTGCTAACCAGACTTTGAAAATGAGCATTGCCGACTGGGTCTAACTCTTCATAGATCCTTTGAGCCTAATCAGCAAGAACTGCAGCGAAGTGAGCCGGTCTTCATTCAGATGTCAATAGGTGTGTCTTTTTATTTTATTTCCTAATGGGTTATCAATACCAGTAATTTGGACCCCATAACATTGCAAATTACTAAAGGGGAAATTTGAACAAGTACTGACTAAGAAGAAAATCAGCTTGACAGGAGCACTTTGTTCTGGCACATGAGCTCATGATGTATGCTGTTGTTGGGGCCGGAATCATGGCTGTCTTGCAACGGACCTTGTTATTCACAGTAGAAAATGAGATTGGTGGTCATGCTTTGGTTTCTAACAAAGTGTATCCATTTGTCATGAGCCTGATTAAGGACGAGTAAAGGAGCAATTCCTGATAGGGCTATGAACCAATTACACATGCTCAGCTGATCACTGGCTTGGCCTGTTTGTACTCTGCACTGAAAACATGAATCAAAACTCTTTATCAAGCAACTGCTTTATAAAGTTCCTTTTTTTGAATGACACTGTCCAGAATCGCTGAGAGTTATAATTTTTAAGGGACCTTTTCCAAGCTTTGAATGAGTCGATAATCTTGTATTCATCAAAGCTTTCATGGCCAGGATCTAATGGTTGTTGTGGGTTTTTCAGGCTCTTTGGCCCGAAAACTGCACCAGAGCACAGAGTGCTACAGTGGGGTCTCGACTTACGAACTTAATCCGTATTGGAAGGCAGTTCTCAGGTCGAAAAGTTCTTAAGTCGAATCTGCATTTCCCATAGGAATGCATTGAAAACCATTTAATCCGTATCTGCTCTTTTCGTCCATAGAAACTAATGGGAAGCTGCTATTCCGCCTTCTGCCACTAGAGGGGGATATTTTTTCTTTTTTTCCTTTTAACCTAAGATGACTTAGCTTTAAAAAAAAGGAAACCACAAGATAATCTTGTTTATGGAATGAGAAAAATGTCCATTCTGCAACCTTCATACACAGTATGACTTCCAGCATGAATTTTAATTCATTTGCTAGCAATAGCAGTGCTGAAAATTACTTAGGGCCTCTCATGTCATAATCCCAAAAGTGTTGTTTGTGTAATCAAATTTGAAATTGTCCAGAGAGTTCTCTAGCACCAGGAATGCTAGCTAGTCTTTGGGTCCAAGTTCTAAGTCTGAGTCTTTGGTATCAAGTCCCAAGTCTCAACAAGGGATGTGGTGGCGCTGTGGGCTAAACCGCAGAAGCCTGTGCTGCAGGGTCAGA